GGTGCGGGTGTTTCTGAGGCCGGTGGGAGGTGGGGAAAGAAATCCCACGTCTGCAAGGCGCGGGTGGGGAGAGGGAGGTTGTGAGGGGAGGTATTTGGCCAGGACTTTGGGGTTGGCACACTGAGAGCCCTGAGGGGAAAGGGCTGGGGTTTTTTGGCAGTAGGACTTGGGGCTCGGTCTCATAAACCCTGTACTAAAGAGCACAGGGTTCCGTGCACGCCTTGTTTTGCTGTTGAAGTGATGCTGGCTTGCAAACTACCTGTTTTACTGTCTGTTTTACTCTTAGCTTTGCCGCTTGTCTACTTTTTGGAAGACTCTATCTGTTTGCCAAGCTGGCTAACCTTTCTCTGTGGCTTACCGACACCAAGTAGCAAGCTACTTGCAGGCTGTCATATCCTTAAGATGTGTAATACAGCATGTCGCTTCAGTGCAAAAGATGCAGCCTTAAGGCCTTTTCAGACCCAGAACACTTGACCCAACTGCTGCGGTAGTGAGATCTCTTCTGCCATGGTTAGAAGAGGGATTTAACCCTTGCAAAAGGAAGGAGTGAGCATTAAGCCAAGAAGCGGCAGTTGTCCCGCATTGTGTTCTCCCAGGCGACTCCAAAGTAAGTGTGCAACTTGGTTAACGTTACAAAGCCTATAGCATACTGTGGTCTAGTGATGTGTTGGTAGTGGCATTTTATATCTGGTGCTAATTGTTGTCATTTTCAGTAGGCAGTGCCAATGGATGAACTCGTGCATGACTTGGCCTCAGCTTTAGAGCAGACTTCAGAGCAAAACAAGCTGGATGAGCTATGGGAAGAGATGGCGCTAAGCCCGCGGCAGCAGCGGCGTCAGCTTCGCAAGAGAAGGGGTCGTAAGCGACGCTCAGACTTCACGCATCAGGCAGAGCATGCCTGCTGCTACAGCGAGGCCTCGGAGTCAAGCCTGGACGAAGCTGTCAAGGATTGCCGTGAGGTGCTGACAGCCAATTTCAGTGACTCTGATGACATGGCAGTGGTCAAACGACACCCAGCTCTCGGTGCCACCCTGAGGAGTAAGCAGCACTCGTGGCATGAGTCAGACTCCTTTACAGAGAACGCTCCCTGTCGACCTCTCAGGCGCCGACGGAAAGTCAAACGCATGACATCAGAGGTGGCTGCCAGTCTCCAGCAAAAGCTCAGGGTGTCGGAGTGGAACTACGAGAGGGGCTGCAGGTTCAAGTCAGCCAAGAAACAGCGTCTTTCACGCTGGAAAGAAAATGCCCCTTGGACATCATCCAGTCATGGCCTTTGTGAATCGGGAGAGAACAGACCCTTCCTCAGCAAAGGGGGAAGGAAGGAGCGGATGGAGTGTGAAGCTGATGAACAGAAACAGGGCTCAGATGAAAACATGTCGGAATGGTGAGACCTTGGTTTCTTCCCTGTGCTAGCCAGATGGCCGGCTTGGTTGCAGCTGCTTGTAAATCCTGTGCCTTGCTTTTAGAAGTTCTTATCAAAATTATTCAGTGCTGTTCTCTTTTTGAAGAGGAAAAATATCTCGACTACTTCTAAACTGTAGATTTTTTTCCAAGTCTTTCTGGTCAATGCTGTACTGATGACCCAAAACACTTCCCTGAAAAGCTGGCAAGGTGATACGTTTCTGGCTCCTGTTACACAAGGAGCCCTCTGAAATGTCTGTGGCCCTGCAGCTACAAAGTGGCGTGCTTGCGGCCGAGGTTTGGAGAGGAAATCCACTGTTGGCACTTGTGTTGCGTGGTTGGTATGAACTGCTCTCAGTTTCAGGTTTTCAGAATTTACCATGAGTAGTAATAGAGAACAGATCCGATCTCCCATCGCAACCACTAGCCCCCTATGCAGGTGCTGCATGAGCCTCAGTCAGAACACCTTGTTTGCAGTTCTACATCTCTGCTCTGGATCTAGAATAAGGTCCTGGAACTGTAGCTGTGGGAAAATGCAGTGAGACGCTAAAGAAGTTGGGGGAAGCTGAATTAATACAGGATAAGCCTGTGCACAGTTTTGGAAAACTTGAGTGGATTTGTGGCAGAATCTCATAAAAAGAGATGAAAACTAGAAGTATAAATGCCATGGTCTGAATTTGTTCGTGTATCTGTCTTGGGAAATTTTCTCCTTGAGTGTGACTTTTATTCTTTCTGTGGAAGGTTTGGGGTTATAAAACTGCTTCTGTACAAATAGATTTTTCAGGTTAGAAAAGAAACAAGTGCTGAGAATCAAATGGAGGACATTTCTTAATGAATGGCATACAGAAAGCGAGTAGGGTTGTTTATTTGCTCATTTTCATTGCGTGAGAAGCAGGAGGCATTGAGGAAGCGTTTAAAATACTAATTTTTTATAAACATAAGGTTTGGAGCTCTGCTGTGGGAGGTTCTGGAAGTCAAAATTTTAACCATGTCCAAAAAGGGGGATGTGGAGCATAGATTTATCAGGGGCTGTTAAGCATTACAGCCCAGATGGAAGATCTGTCTCAGGAAGTCCTTAAACTGCTGACTGCTAGAAGCTGGAGGAATGTACAGAGGAAACAGTCTGTATTTGTCATGTTCTCATATTCTTTTCCCAAATATCCACTGTAATAGGCACTATCAGACAGAGGACAGTGGATTTGGAAAGTTTGATCCAGTATAATTGTACGTTAAGGTTTAAGTGTTCTGGCTGTCTAGCTCCTGCAGTTCATCAGAGTGGGCAGGTGGCACTTGGTTTTTGAGGACTTTGTGGGTAATAGCTGGAAGTGCAAATTTCTCAATAGTATTTTCGGGGAGACTGTGAAAAGCATAGGCTCTAATATGTCCTCACTGTCCTGATCCTGGGGACCACTACCGCGTTTTTACTGAATCAGTGTGGTTTGTATGTAACCATTACAGGGCAGAAGTAGCAAAATAGTGGTCTTTTTTTTTCCTTAAAAAGTGGCTATTGTTTGCTTAAAAGGTGGGTGCAAGGTGGCCTCTTCAGGAGACTACTGGGTGCCTTTTTGCTACTGGTTGTTAAAAGCACTTCTTCCTTTTCAGAGGTATTTGCTGGTAGTCCCGGAAAGAGAATGTGCTGAGTAGCCCCTGAACGTTGCACGGCAGAGGTGATGGACTGAGAGATGCCCTTACTTGATGTGGCAGTGATGGACAGTGCTCCTTGAGGTTTTTTTTTCCACCAGTCAGAGTCTGTTCCACCATGTCAGACTTGAACTTAAACCAGCAGGCGTTTGTCCAGCCTTTATTTGTGCCAGGCTTTGGAAAAGTAAATAAACAGCTTTGTCTGGGCTGTTACTTGAGGACCATGCTGGGACATCGCTTTGTTCTGTCTCAGTTGTCCCTTGCTCTCAAAGTAGTTATTGTGCAAGTGTCTGCATCAAATGACATTTACCATCTGCTGCCAAATCCTTGGGATTCTCTTTGGAAAGCCAGGGCTTGGAACATTTGACCTCTCCAACACCATGCGTGTGATCTGTGCTTATGACTCACTAGGGAGGGTCGAAGTTGGAGAGAGAAATACACGCAGCTCTCTTCGCAGCAGAGTATCCCTCACGGCAGTGACAGATCATGCTTTGGTCTCTGCTGCTCTAAATTTAGCACTTTGCTGCTAACAGCAGAGGGAAGCTGGCAGTGCTTACCTCACCTCGCTTTCTGCTCTAGCTGTTTTTTCTGGTACCGTAAGAGAAGTACTTTGCACAGATGTGTAACAAGGGCATATCCTGAGGAAGGGAGAAGAAAATTGGATGCCTAAGAGAGAGAATGGTATGGTTGTCATCACAGGCTGGTGGGAGGGACGAGTGACTCATAAAGGTTGTGGGACTTGGAAGCGGTCTGTGGTGATCCAGTGGTTTATGAAGCACTTTGATGTTGAATTGGTTCCGTTACTGTTTGCTCATCTAGCAGTGGGAAGTGTCACAAAACTAAGTGGTTTTAGGCAAATGAATTTGTATATTCAGAACTCTTTTTTTTTCACCTTTTCCCTCCACTGACACTGGCTTTTCTTTGTTGCACAGGAATGAAGCTCTGTAAATGCTAAAATATCCAGCATTTTCGGTGCTCTCTAAAAGGCTCCTTGTCCCAAGTCAGATCAAAAACCTACTGTATTCAGTAAAGGAACTCCCATTCACTGAGAAAACTTTGGATGTGGCTCCTTAATGAGGAGGCAGTTTTTATAGTTAGCTTGTGGGACTGCACCCAGTCTTCTCCTGGAGGAAGATGGGCTGCTGTATCATGATTCAAAGTGTGTGTGAAATGAAGTCTTTGAAATTGTTTGCCAAACGCGGCAAGACATGAACACAAATGGAGAGAAGGAAGGATGTACAGGAATATGATGAGGGAATGATGATGGTTCTAAATTGGGTAATGACATGACTTAAAGCCTGATATATAAATGAACGTGGAAACAACAGAGGAAGCAAGTGGTCTTAGTTTAAGTCGCCGTTCGTATGTTTGTACAAAGGTGACAGTTAACTGCTAAGGCTGCTTAGAAGTAACATACCCTTCTGTCCCTTAATGTTTTGAGATTCCCTGCAGCCATAATAAAGCAAAGGCAAATTATATATTGAGTGCTGAAGTTCTTGCTTTTGCTGATCTAAGCTGAGTACTCCCAGAATGGTCTGGATTTGGCCTGAGGACAGAAGAAACCATGGTGCAGGAGCTGTCTGAAAAATCACTTTGGATGATGTGCTTACTAGTGAGAGATGCGCAGTTTGCCCAATCTGTTCTCAAGTGCCATAACTCTTAATGTGACTTTTTCAAACTGGGGATTGTAGTGCCCCACCAGTGCTGTGTGACTTCACGGACTTGATGCTGATGTATTTGTTGTGGTTTAAGCCAAGCAGGCAGCTGAGCCCCACACAGCTGCCTGTTCACTCCTTCACAGTGTGATGAGGGAGAGAATTGAAATAGTAAAAGTTGGAAAACTTGTGAGCTGAGATAAAGTCAGTTTAATAGGTAAAGCAGAAGCTATGTGTGCTAGCAAAGTAAAGAATTCATTCCCTACTTCCTGTTGGTGTTCAGCCATCACTAGGAAAGCAGGGCTCCATCATGCATAACAGCTACTTGGGAAGACAAACACCGTATCTCCAGATGTCCTCCCTTCCTCCTCCTTTTCTCCAACTTTTATTGCTGAGCATGATGTTGTATGGTGTGGGATGTCTCTCTGGTCAGAGGGGCTCAGCCGTTGCAGCTGTGTCCCCTCCTAGCTTCTTGTGCACCCCCAGCCTGCTTGCTGGTGGGGCAGTGTGAGAAACAGAGATGACCTTGGCACTGTTTAAGCACAGTTCAGCAGTAACTAAAACATCAGTGTGTTATCAACGTTGTTTTGGTCACAAATCCAAAACTTAGCACTGTAGAGCTACTATGAAAATTTAACTGTATCCTAGCCAAAACCAGTACCTGGGAGTGTAACCCAGGATCTGGCCTGGAAGTGTAACCAGTGCTCATCCTGGGTGGTCACTTTACCCTTTGGAAGGGAGCTGTTTTGGTGACAGCCTGCAGTGGCAGTCGAGAGCCTGGCTAAGCTGATGAATTGGAGACCAGTCTCTCCGTAAAGAAAAAAATTCCTCTCTCTTGGAAGCCAAGTGACAAAGACAGAGTGTTCAGCTTCCCCTCCTTTTCCAGCCCAGCCTGACCTTCTGCAGCCCCTCGGTGCCTCTTGTTTTCTTATTTTTATAGAAAATCAATATCCCTCCTGACACAAACAATAGCTCAGGCGAAAAAATAAATGGGGGAAACTTGAGATCTCTGTCCATCACCTCTCACTTTAACTCCCCTGAACTATTTAATTATAAGCATGCTTTGCTCCAGGTGTTTGCGACAGTGAAATTGCTAAATGAGGACCATTTTAACCAAAGATTGGATGATCAATAACACTCTATAGCAGTAGCTTGTCGGATCAATAGCATTTATTATTTCATGGTTAAGGTAAGTAGCCTCCTTTGCAAGTGGAGGTCATTAATCAGTGCTTACTGGACCTGCAGAAAGGCTTCTGAAGGAGTCTAGGTTGTGTTCAGCCCTGAAGTGTAAAAGGGATGGTGAAGAGGGTGAGATCCATGGAAGTTCACTGGAGTAAAGCACTGGCAGTAATGTGTATCTATAAGGAGCTGAAGAGCTCTCAGTACAACAGGATGCTTAAAGTACTGTTAATATGATCTGGAATCTTGACAATGCTTTTTCCTTTCTCAGGCACCTTTCCTCTGAGGATGAAGCAGTCACTCGATCCTCACATCTGCTGCTTGTGTGGACTATTAAGCCAGGCTTTCAAAAGGGAAAGCAGACATGCTAAGAGATTTGCCCAGGGTCATACAGTGAGTTGGTAGGAGAGCCAGGAATGAAAGGAATGACTCACGGTTCTCAGTCCTTGGCCTTAATTGCTGTGGTGTATATGGGAGAGTGAATGGATGGCCAGACTTTGTAATGGATTGATTTGGAGTTTGATATTAACTTACATACTGAAATGTACAGACTGGTCATTCTTTAAGTTTAAATGACCTTTATACAATGATGAAGAGGGAGAGTTTGTAAATATCCAGCATGGTGAGTTGATTTGGCAACACTTTAGAGTGCATTTCCTAAGAGCGATAACATGATGTTTTAATATGTACCTGCAGTTCTTTGGCGTAACACATCTTGTGATCCCTCAGCCTTCTGAATCGAGGGGTCTCCAGTTGATACTGGTGTCTGGTAGGATCTAATTTCCCTGGAAAAGGGACCCAGAGATGCTTTCTAACAGCACACCCTGATCAGAGATCGACTGTAGTGCTGAGTTATACCTGATGTTCACCTCCAAGGCCTTAGTGCTAAGGGGGCGGGCAGTTAAGTAGTTTATGCTTGTTCTGGTGTCTCTCAGCTAAATCAGAGGAAGTATTGTCCAAAGTGTCCATGGATTGATTTAATTTCGGCATTAAAGCCATCAGATGCTTGAGACTGACCTGAGCATTTACTTCTGCTACAAATATTAATCCAGCTTTACAGTCAATTAATGGCTTTCTACGCATTAATTTCTAGCTTAATTATTTGGTTCAAGAATTAAGTCTCCTGTAACTCCTTCAGCAAGTTCAAAGCATGCTGTAAGGAGGTTGCGTTCAGCAGCAGCAAGTCATGCTGTGCTAAGGTATTTAGCTGAAGAGTTGTGACTGTTCCAGCTGCTCTTCCCTTCAAATGAATAGAAGTTGCAGTAGGTTGAAGAGGAGGGTTATGTACCTGTATAACATTTTTGAGAAAAAAGAATCTGAAGTAGCAAACTTCAGAGGGTTTTCAGTAGCTGTTAGGACAGAGTTTTTGACTGCACTTAATGTGCTAGTGAGTATTCCAGACAATGTCACAGTTAGGTTATTAACTCCTGTACCCGAGGCAAGTGCCATTGTATTAATTACTTTTTGATATCTTAGAACTAGACTAGATACAGGATTCTACTGATGTTTTCAAGTGGTGCAGCATTGCTAGGTTTTAACAGAAAGCAATTATGCCCTGTGCTAGAGCCAGCCATGTACGTGAAACGCAATTTCTGTGAGGTATGTAAAGCAGTTTGGGCTCAGAGAAGCTAGTGAAGTGTCATAAAGTGGCTTTTGTTTTGTACCTGCTGCAACTGTAACCATTTTTTTTCTTTTGCTTTTTTGTTGCAGTGAAACCAGCAGCGTGTGCAGCAGCAGTGATACCGGCCTGTTTACCAATGATGAGGGCCGCCAAGGTAACAGCTGTCCTGTGATTTTCTTCATGTATTGCTGGGGAATTTCTCTTACTTTCCTTAGAAATATGGAGAAAGATCTATGTTTGAAGAGGAACAGAGGGAAGTGTGGGAGAAAGGGCAGTGGCTAGGAGGGGCTAGAATTTAAGAAATGAGCTGAGGGCTACA